ACACCAAACATTTTCTAAAAGTCAGATTATTACCTTTATCTGTTTATATATATAAATATACACAATATATAATTATGATATATTGTACATTGTAACATATATTACATATTAATTAAATGAACACATTAAGACTAAAATTTAAACCATACCCCTTAAGGGGAATGGCATTTCTGGACATGTAATGAAAAAGACAGGTATTTCTTCACTTATATTTTGGCTGAACCATAGCTAACACATTTCAGTACAGTGGATGAAAACCCTAATTCCTAATTCCTAATGATTTGGTTATAGCTGACTTTAAGTCTGCTATAAATATTACATGAATAAACATTTTTTCTCAATGACTAAAATTGATTTTAATACATGACAATGATGCTAAAGACTGGATTGTATATGCCAATTATTTAAGCTGTCTCAACACACATATTCCAGTTGTCTCTGAGGCCTGTAAGCTAAGCATGACTAGGGTGGCACGTAATACTAATAACAGACAGATCTAGTTTTAAATAGTATGAAACAGAAGTCAGCAAGCTCTGGAGCTTGAGCCTAAGTCACAGTGGCAGGCTACATGTACCAAGAAGTTCAGAATCGTTGGTAAATATGGAACCTGCTGCAGTGCTTCCTGCAAAAATATGATGAAAATTGAAACCACACAGCAGGTCAAGAATAGCTACTTCTACTATCATGAAGCCAATATAAAGAGATGAGCCACAGGTATCTGACACTGCTTCCTACATGAAAGTGATGGGTGGTAGGCATGAATTTACCATACATCCTCTACTTTCAGAGTCAAGTGTGCCACCAGAAAACTGATAAATGCATCAATTTATTACCACCAACAAAAAGGAAGTAAACAAGAACAATAAATTGGATGGCATAGAGCTAGAAGTATCAAAATCCCTCTTTGGTGATTCAACAAAGTCATGTTTCTAGCTGTGATTTATTATACTCTCCTCCCCTTTTATTGCATGTGCTATGTATGTCTAGTATTTATTTCAGAATCTGAACGCTTCTGTTGTCCTAATCCCAAAATACTAGAGATGCTATAATATTAAGAACTGATGTGCATTTTTTTTTTTAGAGCTTATTCTAAAGTGAGACTGAAAAAGAAAGGTTGCATTGGGTATCTAAAAATGCTAAAAAAAGAAAAGGTCAGTCATCTTCATAGAATTATAAAATGGAGTCCTGAGAGTCAACACATCGACCGTGAATCAATACTGATATTGTAATCAGCCATGTTTAAATAGCATCAAACACATCTGGAAGAAAGAGCACAAGCTCTGCCCACACTTTCAGACTGGCCACTTACTACAAGCAAGTGACTAGTTGTTTTCCAAGACTAGTGAATAAAATCTCTATCTCCAATGTTTTCTAATGATGAGTTAATAGCCCACTGTCATTAATTCATTCGTCAAAGTGATTTTTCTCTATGCTCCCGTTATAAGCCAGAAACCAACCAGGCCACAAAACAGATGAACAAAAATCTCCCCTTACCTTCTCTGATCTATTTACTTGACCTTGTCCTAGGTGAATTGGTGATGAATTAAAAAAAAAAAAAATCTTAATGTGATTTAAAAAAAAATAGCCAATTCAATGTTTAAAGATTAAATAAAATCACACAGTGTGTGAATTTAGGGAAACAAAAAGTTACATGAAAAAAAAATCACCATATGTGGTCTAAGGATGGAAAGGGAGACTTCCCAGAAAAGTGCATTTTAAGGGAATTTTGAGTGACTCTTAGACTCCTGATAGGAGGGAGATCTAGACTTTGAAAAGCAATGCTATAAGGGAGGGAGTTGGAAAGGTGTGGTGACTCTGAGAAGTTCTGTACCGCTGGGGTCCCCAGCACATGTTAGGAAGTGATGGGCCATGAAAACGGTCATATACATGCAGACCAGAGTGAAGTTTTAAGTGTTGGGGTAAAGGACTTATGGTTAGTTTGGAAGAAATGGGAAACCATTTAAGATACTTAAGAAGAGCATGCTATGGTACAAAAATTTAGATTTTCTCACAAGAAATGAGAGAGAGAGACACTAGAAAGGGACAAAAGGAAGTGATTCTCCCAGGAAAATGGGGTAATGAGCCTCAGATTAGTTTTCCAATGATGACTGATGGAAGGGAACACTTCCCAAGGCATCTCTCAAGGCTCCTTTGTCATGAGAGCAGCACATGTGTCTGGCAAGAACAGTATCTCAACTCTATGAGCCATATCCCTGAGTGGCCCTAGGAGTTCTGCACTGTCTTCTTGCCTATCCTCTGCCTGTTACCATTACTCTATCCTTACAATGCCAACATCTCAGTCACACATCTCTATCCTCAGCTCATTCATATTGACCATGACCAAATGAAGCTGGTAAAACCACATGTGTCCAATGGGCATTAGGACTACCACACTCCCTCACAGCCTGGCTCAAAAGAAACAAACACATTTTTAGCTATCAGCAGCATGATCTCAGCCCTCCTAGCCTTTTGAACATAAGAAGTGAATCTCTGTGTTTTTCTTTAGACAAACTATCCCGTTTATACTAATTTGCTATAGCAACCTAAAAGACTATAGATTTATAGGGATAGATTTAAAACCCTATAAAAATGATCCTCAATGAAAAGTAGACAGAGGGCTAGAGAATTAGCTCAGTAGTTAAGAGTACCTGTTGCTCATGCAGAGGACCAGGGTTCAATCCCAGGGCCCCCATGGTGGCTCATAGCTATAACTCCAGTCCCAGGGGATATGAGGGCCTCTCTTGGTCTCAGACAAGCACATAGTGCACATACATACATGCAGGCAAAACACTCATTCACTTGAAATAATAAAATAAATAAATCTGAAGAAAGTAGACATAAAGAAAAAACAAAAATTGGAATGTTTGGGGATGTGTATAAACACCCCAATAATTTCAAAGAATTTCAGCAGAGTAATGATCCCGTGCTTTCACACAAACTGGGGAAAACAAGTCAAAACACATGGTGAGGATGTCCTTGACAGGAAAACAATGTAAACAATGGTTGCAAAATGGGTATCATATTTCTAGAATTAAAAGATATATATATATATATATATCATATTTCTAGAACTAAAAGATATATATATATAACCTAATTTATTGATAAGAAATAATCCAAATGTCAGTAGTTCTGTTTAGATAAGAGAGATTATAAGTGACAATGCCACAGATTTGATTTTGTGGCATTAATTTGTAGTTTCTAGATTAGTAAATATATCTTACTAGTCAGGAAAAACAGTCACTCTCTTAATAAAAAGTTTGTCTGAGAAGGTAGAACACATTCAGCTCTCTCTTACAGAGTTCCCACAATGCCCCTATTATGTACAGCACATGCTGTGTATCGTAGTTTCTGAGCTAGGTTGGATGCTCAATGTGTGGGGACCCAGGAAAGCTACTCTGGGATGTATCTATTAACCATGTGTAGTGATTGTGTGCAGCACATGGTTCCCAAGGCAGAAGACTGTCCTTGCTTAACCACTGATGACCTCATTGGTACATTTTCAGGGTCTCCCAATGATGTTGCTTGTGGTATTAAGAAATCGTGATGGGGGAGATATCCACCTTAATGAAACAGTAAGTCAAACATGAAATGAAGGTTTTAATATGTGAACACTGTTTTAAATTCTTTAAAACTCAATACTGTGTAATAGATGAGTCATCAATCCCATAATAAGTTATACTAAATCTTAAGCATTTCCCCTCCATCTACTGAAAATAAATAACAACCCATCAGTTATTTAGTCACTAAAGATGAGAAGCATTCAACTTTTGTTACAGGAAGGTCAACATTCCCCACATCCTGTTTCAGATTGCGGAACTTTCAATTTTCCCCCCCACACAACAGATGTTAGGTTAAATAAACTGATGGTTGATGAATTCTTCTCTTTTCTACATTAAACTCTTTCAACAGTTTGATCTCATTCTGATTCATACAAGCTAATGGAGAGAGGACTATACATCTGAATGAGAATAAAAATCTGCAAGAATCCCTTGTTATCTTTGGGGGTGGATTGCAGTTGGGGCATTTGCAGGACACTGAACTAACCATTATGCTACAAAGCTCATGTGCCTCATATTTGCTCTTAAGAAAGGAAGAGGGTTTGTTGTTGCTGCTACTGCTGTTTTCTTTGATGCATTTCTCACAAAAGCATGTCCTAACACTGTGTAAACATGGCCACACTAACACTGGCCAGAAGGAGCCCTTATCCTCTTTGGAGCATCTTTCAAGGTGGATTGGAATTACAGGCTTGCTCTGAGCCCATGGAATTGTCTTTTCCATTTGAATAGCTGCAATAGCTATCTTGAAACGAAGCCAGGAGGAATTTTAGTAGTCCTATCCTAAATACCCGAATGAGAGTACTTAGAATATATTCCTTCTACAGGCACACAGTCCCAAAACAGACTTCTCATTTCTCAGGTTGGAGGAATGCACTGACTCGCCCACATCTTTCCCTACTGATATGGTGAAAGAAAACAAGTTTTATAATGTCAGATGAAGGGTGCCCCCAAAGAACAACTAAGTTCTCCAAAGTTGGAGTATGCAGGAAAAAATGTGGACATCTTCATGTTTAGTTATTTTTACCATTCCGTTCAAAATTGTTTCACAAGTTCCAACACAAACACACAAATACCTTTTCCTCCCTAAGAGATCAACCCGCGGCTTACTCCCTGGGAGAAAGTACCAACATTTTCATTACCAGGGGGAGGGGAGCAGACAGTCCAAGCTGCTTTAAACTACGGATTCCGAAACGGAATGACAAACGTGTGCACGCCTGTGTAAAGGCGCAAGCGTGTGCACATCCCATCTTTTTACAAAGGGCCAGTTTTCAAAAAAGGTACTGTCCTATGGAAATCAAAAAAGTGAAACGGTGTGATCGCTTCTCCTTTTTCAAGTCCTCTCCCGAACCAGAAGTGGCAGAAAAGCTGTCGCTAGCTCGAAGCACTGTTGGACTGAGTGAGCAGAGGCCGGGCGGGGGCGGCTAGCTGCGTCTCTCTTACCTGTCCCTCCCTGGGCGCTCATCACAGCATAGTCACCCCGGGTTCCAAGGTGCCAGAAGAGAACAGAGCAGGGATCCAAAGGGCGGGACGAGTTATGCTTCCAAGCCAGACATTTGTCTTTGAGAAGCAGAACAAAACCGACTTCTCAGTTCCCCAGCTCCGCGTGCGGTGCGCGTCCGCCTGAGGCCGGCGGAGCAGGCGATTCTCCCTCCTCCAGGCCTCTCAGGCTCCCGGCCGGCAGAGCTTCCGTGGAACGCCAATCTCCCGCGGTCCCGCCCCCGTGACGTTAGGGGCGGGGCCTGGCAGCTGCGGAGCTCCTGGCTCCAGCGGTAGGACCCAGCAGAGGCCCCACCCTGCCCAGATGTCCCAGTGACCCAGGGCTTGTACATTCCCACTCTGACGGGCACCCTCACAGCAGTTTGCAGACCTTCCAGCGTGTTCTTACATTACTGTGATTTTGTTGAACAATGTTCTCATTTACTGAGGCTTGAAACACCTAGTGGTTATGTTTTGGAGGGCAAAGACAATAAAAATGTTATGTTAAAGTTGTGTGGCTAGCAATTATTTTATTTTTAAAAAAAAAGTTCTGATGTGTTTTCTTTCTCTTTAGACTCCCTTACTCAGAATAACGTGCTAGGGTCTGTTTGTTTTAAACTCATGCATTCTTTGTTTTCCTTCTCTTTCTTTCTTCTATGCTTTCCTTTCATTTCTTTGCTCCAAATTAAAAGAGAGAGAGAGAGAGAGAGAGAGAGAGAGAGAGAGAGAGAGAGAGAGAGAGAGAACCGACCTGTCTGGTCTTCAAAACGCTTGCCCAACTGCTTCAAGAAGGCAAAGGGGTGCACCTACCATGCTCCAGGGCAGGCCCCACTCCAAGAATACTAAGAAGGCGCAAACTGGCCTGGATTCGAAAAGTGGGTCTAATAGGAGGTGAGAGTGAGAGTGAAAAGTGTGTGTTTGGGAGGAGTAGGGGAAGGGAGGGGAGTAAAGTCAAAATATAATACATGATATTCTCAAAGAATTAATTCAAAAATTATTTAAGAATAAAAAAGATGAAAGGTCGTTTAAAGAACCAGAACATTCAAAACAACTCAAAAGAAAAACCAAAACTCAGCTTCAGGTTACTCCACTGAAACAATCTATGAAGCCCATAAGAACGCCTCAGCTCTGCTGTTCACCATGTGTCTGGCTCGCGTCTCTCAAATGCTACTCAAATGCGCATCGAGAGAGAGAAGTCATTGATCATGCTAGTGCCTCTCAGTCATGTCACCCGAACAAAGCCATCCCAAACCAAGAGATGCCAAACGAGTTTTTGCACCCTCCCTGGAGGTGCTGAGCAGAGGTCTGGGTGTGGCTTCCTGTAGAGCCTCCTTCTGCAGGCAAGGACAAATCTCCAGGGTTAGTCAACTCCTGGCCTCTGAAAACTCCTGGCCCCACTAAGACTTTTGCAGGTATATCACTATTTCTGACAGGATGGCTGAATAGCTTTGTCATAGTCACTGTTTGTTTTGTTTAAATTCCAGTTAGTTGTCTGCTTCGCCTCCGTGCCCTTTCTGCCTCTGGCAGGGATATACCAAAGAGGCCTTTTTTGGGGAAGGTGCATACCAGGACAGCTCAGGCATACTGTGGGCATTTGCAGCCTGTTGGGAATGAGTAAGTGTGTGGTTCTAACTAGCTACACTCCAGACTAGATGAGTGTAGGACAGCCAACTGAACTAGAATCCCTGGGGGTGGGGCTTTTGCAGCTCTTGGAGTCCAACTTTTGTCAGAGCCCTCCCAGCATTGTATTCACCTAAAAGACTGAGAATCACCCCTACGATTCGAACTAATGTCTAGAGGAAAATCCACATTACATTGGTAAGTTCAAAGGTAATGTTGCTCAGTAATGGGAAGCTGTACTATAACTTAGCCTTATACATTCTTTGTATGTCTGCACATTTCCATGTTAAGTATGGGAACTATACTGCAAAACCCGCTTCAGAACTGCTCACTTGGAGAAAGAGAGGAGGAGTGGCGTGAGATCACTGACTTCATTTGTGTCTGTATCACGTGACCAAACCAAAGGAATTGGTTTCGCCTGAGGTTTAAATATGTATTTCCAAAAATAATAAAATTAATACCTATAGATAAAGGCTGTTGTAAATGGCCACTATTAGTGTGGATTTTCAATTGTTTGATAGGTTGCATTGTGTTTCATGACTTGGATTGGATTTGATTAAGGGTTTGATTGCTATTATTATTTCTTAAATGCTTTTCTGAACACTTGTTATTATTCTTAAATGCTTTTCTGAACACTTGTATCTTTTTGCCTGATGATTTCAATTTTTTGTTTGTTTTTTTTTTGTTTGTTTGTTTGTTTTTCGAGACAGGGTTTCCCTGTATTGTTTTGGAGCCTGTCCACCACCAGGCTGGCCTCAAACTCACAGAGATCTGCCTGCCTCTGCCTCTGAGTGCTGGGACTAAAGGTGTGTGCCACCAACACCCAGGTGATTTCAGTTTAAAAAATTTGTAAGATTCTTATTAACTATTTCAATGAATTTATTACTGAAATGATGTCTACTTTCTTATGGTTTCAATAACATATTTTAGTTTTAGTGTGCTTCTCATGAAGACTTGAAAGACTAGTGTTCACAGTAGATAACACAGATGAAAGAATATTCTGTCCTTCCCTAGTGGGAAATTATTGAAACTCTCAAGACTCATAGCTTGATAATAAATTGCTGATGAAAAATGCATGGCATAAGAGTTTGTTACTTACATCTGACTTGAATCTAAATCTTCATTATGAAAACCCTTCACTACAAGAGCCCTAAGCGCATCAGTAAACGGATCCAGTGTTTCACGATTTTACGAAGTCAGGTAGCCAAAGTGCTTACCCCTAAGTCAAGTCATGACAGCTGCTTTAAAATGACAGCTATCAATTCACTGGTGTTATTTTCTCACATTTCCCTGGATAAGCTAAAGAATTATTATAGCATGGGTAGACTAAGAATCATCAGGAAACATTCTTTTATAAAACTATAAACATGTTTCTTCTCATGTTTAATGAGATACTTCTTTTGTGTGAAAACGAAGTAGGCTTCCCCCCCCATAACTTTAAGATAAACATGTTTTTATTTCTTCAAAGTATTTTACACAGACTAAAGTAGCAGAAGGAAGGGCTGATTTTCCATATTCATGATGAGGTACTTCTTTTTCTCTGTGCTTGTCAAGAGGGCATGACTCATGCACAGATTAGAACAATTCCCAATTCCAGGTCTACATAACTTTCAGAAGTGAGGGAGGACAGGCTCTGATTTTAATAAGCCATATATAAGGCATATTTATTAAATACATCATGCTATATTTCCTAATTATATTTAATAAGCCATCGCAGGATTTTTCCTTCTTCATCCTTCACCTTTGCTCATGAACTGCTGTCTTGTGTTTCCAGAAGTCTGTCACTCACTTAATACTCATTGCAGTCCTGTGAAGTCATTTTTCACTCAGAGATGAGTGATCGGAGGCAGGAGCGGCAGGCAAGTGTCCAACACAGTAAGCAGAAGCCATAGAATCAGGCCTTTCTCTCTCACATTTTCAGCCCACATATGTAGAACTCTCAGACCTGATGGGAATCATTTTGATAGTCCAGCAGAGCATCATCTGTGCAGAACCCAAAGATAGAGAATGTTGACTTTCATGACTGTGGTGCCATTAAAAATATTTTAAAATAGTACTTCACCCCAGTCAAAATTGCTATCATCTAAAAAGCTGAACGGGTGGGGGGCAGGGCACTGGAGAGACTCAATGAAAACTGCACGTGTGTGTGTGTGTGTGTGTGTGTGTGTGTGTGTGTATGTTTGTGTGTGTGTAAAGTACTCAGCTCTGAAGAAAAAGTGAAATAACAAAATTTTCTGGAAAATGTATGGATTTATAATTATAATATTATGCAAAACTACATAAGAAAAAATGCATGCTCTTGCTCATATGTTATATCTCGCCAAAATATATGCATACATGTATGCAAATATACATGTAGACATAGTATAACATGTAGAAAAAATAGCAAGACAAGACAGGATAAATATTAGGGGATGAAGAGGAGTAAATGAAGGTAATAACAATAAGTTATAAGAGAGGATATAAAGGTAATTGTAGTTCTGTCATGAAATTTTCACTTTTTATGGTGGATAAGTGCATAAAAGTATATTTGAGAGTTAAAGTGTAAAATTCAATGTGAATATACACAGCTTTCATTCTGTACCAGTATAGAAGTTCATTAAGCAGTATACTTTGGGTCTGGTTAAGTTTGGTGTGTGATTTTGTCTCACATGCAACATCTGAATAATAAAATTTAATAATTAAAAATAAAGCTTCAAAACAGACAGAATTATCCACAAACTTTAACTTTATGTGTTTATTGGTCATGACTACTCCACCAAGACTCACAATTTGCCAATCACTTTTCAATTTCCTTTTACCTTAGGTTGTTTTAAATTCTTTTGCTACCCACAAGGAAGGAACAGATTTGACTTCATGCTGCCTCACCTTCTCCATTACTCTTTATTTCTGGATAAAATCTAGTGCCATAACACTGACTCTGTGGGTGTCAGGCAGCTGGTTCTTTCTGGGTATCAATAACAGATTAAAGAACCAACAGATGTTTCAACTCCAGAGTTCCAGATAAGCCAATCAACTCCTATACAATCTTACACAATCTCTTATGAGATCAAGAAGCACACTCTCAGCAGGACTAGAGTAGAATCCCTTATATGGAACATGATCCTTTAGACTTGGGGGAAAAATAATTAATCACTCTCTTTCACAAAGATGCTTTGGTGAGAGCAGGTTCAGCTAAGATCAAAAGACACACATGACTCTATATTGTGTGCATTCTCCACTGACCAGAGAGTCAGGATTTGGGAGACTTTAGAAAGATGAAGACAAATGAAACAGTTCTACCTGGAGAGCAAATGGGATTCAGCCTCCATGAAATGACACAAGGCTTTGGGTCAGAGATGGCATAAGACTATCTTGGATAGACATGGCTGAGTGGTGTGCAAAAAAGTAATGTCCAATGAACACATCAAAGCTGATTCCTTTTATGTAGTATATGTTTTATACAAAACTGAGTTCCTT